TAAGTATTGTCTATTGAGAATTCAGAGCAGACATTTGAACCAAGAACTGTCCATTTTTCTGATGGAGAACACATCATCAGACAATACGTTTCCTAGGCGGTTTGGTCTCATATTGCTGCAGAGTAGTTTTTATGGTGAACTCAGATGGTGTCTGAGTCAGAGGTACAGGAAGGAAAATGATGCTCAAGCACAGCTTGCCCCCGATAGGAGCTCCTGGGGACATGTCTCTGCCCTGATACACATCGGTGATACATGGTCATTAATGCACAGAGGAGACTGAAGCTGTGCACCTGCTTGTGGTGAAAGGGGAGCAGTGTGCATTTGGGTTAAAATCACCATGGGAAGATGAGGGAATTACTGCTCTGGACCTCAGATTCTGGTGAAGCCCTTTTAGTCAAATGGCATACTCTAGCTGTAAAAAGTTCTTGACTGATTTCATTTCAAAAAGAGTCTGTATTTCTCCTTCCAAGAAGCTGAGTATTGGTCAGTGTTTACAATATGGAGGAAAGCCTTTGTTCATATCAAGCTCTGGTGCTCTAAAAAAGGAGGATTTACTGACACTGCCTGGAACAATGGTGCTGTAGCTGATGAAGGAAGAGAGAAATTGTCTGCCTTGCATCTGTGGAATTTCCTGCCTATCCTTCCTGAAGGCTTTGGGAAGCTGCTTCAGACATAAAGCACTTAGCATCTGTAAAGGGAGAGGAGAACATCTATCAAACACGGAAAGATCAAAAACTGTGACTCCCTATGGAGTGACTGTTGGGAGGGAAACAGCTGAATAATGTTGAACACATTCAGCTCTCTGACTTCACCCAACGCACAGTGTGAAGGCTGTGTTTGTAGTCAAAGGATGAATCATTTTTATGGATAGGGAAAAGATTTTGCGCTTTTGCCTTTAAAGGTTCTACACTATTATTTGTTTGAGAGGTAATGCCACTTGCTTTTGCCACCTTTGAGACATAAATATTAGTCCAGAGTGTGATTTTTTTTTTCTTTTTTTTTCCTGGCCTGTCCATGAGATGACTTGGGAGGTGGTTTAGGTGCTTGGTACACTGTAAATGTTGGAGATCTGGCATGGGCTTTTATAAACTCAATTATCTTAAAAAAAATCAAGTTCCTTAAACCTCAGTGATAATTAGTTCCATATGAATATTCAGTGCCTATGCTCATGCTTCGGAATCCAGAGCTACAGTGGTTTTGAGTACAAAATAATTGAGAAAGTCCAACCCTTCGTCTTGAAAGTACCTTTTATGATTACTTCTACAAGGAGCAGACTGTTGCCTCAGAATCAGCAAGCTCTATGGGAAGAATATCCAATGGGGGAACAGCCTGACTGGGGTTGAGCTGACAGACAGCATTGTAAGGAAATAAAATCTTGCACACATGGTTGCTGTTTTGTGGATGTGACCTTCTCTTTTCTGAAGACACAAGTCTTCCACTGGGAGCTGAAAGGTACAAAACAGCCTGACAACACAGCATGTCAATACGTGTCCCTACCATAAGTATAGCTCGTGTTTCCTATTAGTGCTGTGTAGCACTCTCTGGGCAGCAATCAGCTCCATTTAAATAAGATGAATATGAAAGTAATAATGTTTCAGATTTTACTCTTGTGCATGCTGTCAAGGGAAGGAATGTTGATTTTTATTTTTTTTTTAAATAGCCTAACAGTGAAATAAAGTGAAAATGTAATTCCTACAACATGGTTAGTGCTCTTTTTAATTCTACCCTGTCCGAATTTTTTAGGGTTTTGAAGGTATTCCTGTCCAGAACTGCTCAGCGTATTCCATATATGACAGGTGGGCGAGTGATGAGGATGCTGGCTGTAATTCTCCTGGTAGTGTTTTGGTTTCTTGTTGGCTGGACTTCTGCAATAACCCAAAATTTGGAGAGAAACATTCCTCTAATTGGCCAAGGGCAAACATCTGACCACCTGATCTTCAATATGTGCCTCATGGACCGCTGGGATTACATGATGGCTGTTGGTATGTTCATTTTCTAGTCTTTCTTCTAATGTTTAAAATAAGGCTTAGTTGCTTTTTCTTTATATTTCTTTTCCTTTTAGAATATCTTAGAGCTTTATCAGGCTGCATAATATCATTAGAAAAGCATGTAAGAGAATGAAATGTTGGTTTATATGTTTTTAAATGGGCTGAGAAGTAAAACAACTAAAATATATTGAGAATTTTATGACTTTCAAAGGTTTGTAACTAAGATGACAGTAACAAGGTGATTGGTTCTCCAGAAATGTTTTTTTTTTTCTTATTGATGAATGTATCTAACTAGTACAGTGAGAAATTACAGTAGGAATAACTATGGTGGGCTTTGCATTTCTGCCCCACAGAACTGGATAGATCTGTTGTATGAGGAGGGAGAGAACTTGCAAGAACACTCTTTCATAGAAAATTGCACATACTTTAATACGAAAGCAATGGGAATAAGAAATGTATACCAAACTTTTCAACTTAACACATTTTCTAGATATTCTGTCAGTGCTCGGGATAGGCAGGAGCTAAAAAATGCCATGCTGCAGAGTTCAGTTCTGTCATACCGAGGAAAAAAATAACACATTTTTGTTTCCTTCGTTTTATAACACACAGCGAGTTCCCTATGCCAGGGTGCAGTTATATGGTGAAAGGTTCTTCATCCCAATCACTGGACAACTTCAGTGCATCTGCACCTAGAGCCCTTGGTTCCAGTACAGCACAGGTGTGCCATCCGCACTCTCAAATACATAAACATTTGAAGTTTTAACTAAGTACTTAGCTTTCTGCCCTTTCCCTCCTTCCCCATGGACATGCGGTTGACAGAGACCTGCTCCTGAAAATGAAGGCAAGGTAATGGGCTGCACTTCACATGGGAGTGAAGGCAAGATGGATAGAAACAGCCAGTGGTATTTGGAGTATTTTCTCTGAGAGTGATGTACAGAATGCCAGTGCACTGTAACATAACATTTTAAAGGACAAACCACTGCTTCCAGCTTCACCAAGAACTTTCCACAGCTCTAAGATACTTGGTCCCCTCTAGTCCCTGTGCTGTGCGCTGCTCTTCCCTCCTTCGTGTAAGATCTCTCAGGTACAATGTTCCTCATTTGTAGATATTCTCATGAGTAAACAAACAACGTAGAGAGAAGTATAAACAAGTACTTCTTGAAATGTGTCTGTATCTGGGTCCTTTTGGAAGGGTATACTAAGAAAATAGAACTCTGTTTTGTCATAATACAACAGTAATATCACCAGAGATGATGTAAAATTAATAACAAATGAGAATTGAGTGCGGAATGTGATGTCATCTTCACTGAACCATTTTGGATGAAAATTTTACTGCGTTTCACAGTTGGTAATACAGGATAGGATTATTAAAACTTTGATGCCAGTAGTTGTTGCATAATGGCAAACAAATGTGTTTATTCCATTCATCTTACAACTGTGGCAGTGAACTGAATAACAGCTCAGATTTTAATGGCTAAATATGACCCTTTTGATACTAAATGACGTGTTGGAAAAAGCGAAGATTGTTTTTTAAGACAAATTTACATCTAGAGGAGTTTTTAATGTGTTTTTTTTTTTTCCTTTTCAAGATGCACTTAAGCATAGTAGAGACAAAGCTGACTCACAAGCCTAAATACAATTGGTTGTAATTTTGTTTGTTCTGGCCTTTTGCCTTTGCATTCAAACTACCTTGTAAACTTTTGTGCAAGTCTTCAGTAAACTGTGGAGTCATGAGTGGTTTTGCATATGGGCCGGAGGAATCCCAGGCATCCATACAGGCTGGAAGGAGCGGTCCTTGAGAGCAGCCCTGCGGAGAAGGACCTGGGGGTCCTGATGGATGAAAAACTTAACATGAGCCAGCAGTGTGCTCTTGCGGCTCGGAAAGCAAATGGTATCCTGAGCTCCATCAGAAGAGGGGTGGCCAGCAGGGACAGGGAGGTGATTGTCCCCCTCTACTCTGCTCTTGTGAGGCCCCATCTGGAGCACTGCGTCCAGGTCTGGAGCCCCCAGTACAGGAAGGACAGGGAGCTGTTGGAGAGGGTCCAGAGGAGAGCCACAAAGATGATCAGAGGACTGGAGCACCTCCCCAACGAAGAAAGGCTGAGGGAGCTGGGCTCGTTCAGGCTGGAGAAAAGAAGGCTGTGGGGTGACCTCATTGCAGCCTTTCAATACCTACAGGGAGCCTAGAAACAGAAGGGGAATCAACTTTGGAAGGATTGATAACAGCAGGACAAGGGGAAATGGTTTTAAGTTGCAGGAGGGAAGATTTAGGTTGGATGTCAGGGGGAAATTCTTTACAGAGAGAGTGGTGAGGTGCTGGCACAGGCTGCCCAGAGAGGTTGTGGATGCCCCGTCCCTGGAGGTGTTCAAGGCCAGGTTGGATGGGGCCCTGGGCAGCCTGGTCTGGTATTAAAGGGGGAGGTTGGTGGCCCTGCCTGTGGCAGGGGGTTGGAGATTCATGATCCTTGAGGCCCCTTCCCACCCTGGCCATTCTGTGATTCTGTGAGTGATACCAGGATTTGTACAGCTGTAAGCCTGTACTAACCTGTGTGTATATTTATCGATCTATGTGCACTTGAAGGTGTTTATTGTTAAGAGAGTCTGAAAAGCTTACAGCCAGGAGGACTTAGTTCCAAAACCAGATAATTGATATCAAAGAGCTGTCAGGAGAAATACACATAATGCAGAATCCCTTTCATTCTTGCAGTTAACTTGCCTTCTGAAAGATTTTGTGCTGCAAATTATGTGATAGATTATGATATTTGATTTAATGTGGCAAAATGAAAATGCAGGATGATAATTTGTGAAAGAGTTGTTATTTCATTTGATTTAGCCAGGCTTTATAGAAAGCTAGTGAATATTTTGTAATACATTCTGTCACCTGTAGCCAGTGCTCCAGTGCCTCACTGTTTTTCACTCTGCTGGCAATGTCTCACTGCAATGTAGGGAGGGAATTTTCAAGGTCACAGATTAGCGAATTGAGAATTAACAAGGCTCTGTTAGAAAGTCATAATGAGATGAAGCCTTTATGCTACCAGAGATTACTGGAGTTAGGATTTATGAAGCATTTTCCATACTAATCATTCTACTTAGGCTCTATCTCCAGAGACTTTTATTGCAGTGAATGTTTTATAGTTACATTTTCATTAAGTTTGAGAGGGTGCTCTGCAAGAGAAGTAGGGACTTAGACATAAAGGTTGTCACCATTTTTAACACTGCCTTTTTACTCTGTGGTATGCTGATGAGAGAAATAGCCTTCAATAAATGCTTATCAGTGTAGTGTAATGTAAGTTAGTATGTATTTTCCTTGACGTTGGATACTTGTGGGTATTTTAATTGGCACTTTCCTAGATTCTTTAATTTCCTTTGTGTTTGTGCACCGCTGTCGGAGTTGTGGCATCTGTCTCCTAAGCAAGCCATGGCATGGATCAGAACCTGAGATTTTAGAAAAAGTCCTGAGGGCCTTGAAAGGCTCATCCTTTCTGTTATGGCTTGAATAAATCCTGTACCTCTACTTACCACAGCCTGATTTCTGATTTCAAATTAGAAAAAAATAGCTGAAAAACTTGCTCGTGGTGTCTCAAATCAAACTATTATTCTTTACATGGTTGGAAGAATCTAAGTGAAAGAGATGTGAGCACACTACTCAAAAAAAAAACTTCCCACTAAAAGAAAAAATAAGAAGTGTAATGTGCAGAACCCCTGGCAGGAGAGAAAGATAGGCAGAGAGGTAAACATGCATGTGCAAACACCAGTAAAAAGCAGATGTGAAATCTTGGTGCATGGAGGTTCCTGTTGTTAGGGCCAGGGTTTTACCCAATGTGGATAGCATTTAAGCTCTTGTTTTTAAAAATCGCCATGTGTACCCGGTGTCTGTGTTCTGGCATTTTACTTAAACTAGGAGTTGAAGGCAGGTTTTAAACAAATGCAGCTAGGTGTTTTTCCCAGCACAAGTGTGATTCCCAGCTGGCAGGAGCTGTGCTCCTCTGGCTCAGCTGCACTAATTGGGAGTTCAGGTTTGGGGTTCTGGATATCAAGGGAATTACAAACACACAACTCTGTCATAATTACTGAATGCCCTCAGCCAGGAAAAGGAACAAAGAAGAATACTGTGAAGAATATTATTAGTCTGCATTCCCAAAAGGGTTTCCTCCCAGTGTTCATTTGTTAATATTTAACCTATATAATCTTCGCATCTGAAGAGGATATGAATTGCCAAGACTGGCTCTGACAGATTGGGAATTAAGGGTTCCCTTAAAGTTCTGAGTCAGGGCATTGTGACACAGCCTCACAGAGACCCCTTATTAAGTTTTGTACAGGCCCTCAGCTGCATTCCATGAATGAGTGGTTATTATTTCTTTTTGTTACACCCATTTGATGTGGCCCTATGCCATATTTGGGGTACTTTGTTCAGAGTATTCCGTGAAAGAAGAATTGTTAATTTCCAAATGGGCATTCTTAAGCCACGTTCTCCTTAGCATGAATGTACAAAGATCAGTGCCAAAAATTGTCAGCAAAAGCCATCTCTTGAGACATCTGGGAACTAATTCTTTTGAGCAGTGTTTATAGCCTTCTCCATGTAGAAAGCCCAGCCAGAAGGTAATTGTTAGAATTCAACACCGACGAAATCTGGCTTCAGTTTTCATGTGAAAATAGTGATTGCTTGTGAAAAGTTTACTCTAAGTGATACAACCAGGACTGTCAAAAGTGTTTAGAGCAGAAATAAGAAATGGATCCGGTTTTACAAACAAGCCTTCCTCAGCTTTCACAACAAGACTGGCTTTTTTTCTGATTGTTAATCACTGCTCTTCCTGCCATGTACACCTCTTTCACAGTCTGCATCACCAATTCTGTGTGCAATCTAAGTTCCCCATCTCTAAGACACAGTAAATCTTAAAGTGTAGGGAAGAGCAACAAAGACAAGTGATGGCTCCTCTATGAGACTAGATGAAATGGGGCAATTCATTCATCTCAGATTAACTGCTTCTGTCAGT